ATTTTGTCCTTTCCCTAGTAAGTAATAACAAAAGGTGATAACAATCAATCATAGTATTGCGAACAAGATAAGTTTCTAATCCAGTGGATTGTGATACTTGTGATGGGATAAAAAGAAATTAAAAAGTTACTTGCGTCTGTTATCTGTTTTTTCTTGAATGCCACAACACGTGTAATTCATATTTTTTTGTTGTAGCTTATCTTCTATACTTGAAATTTTGAGCGGGTCAACCTTTATAGTAAATAATATGTAGGACATGGATTTGGCGAATGAAATGTCTAAGTTTTGTTATGTCCCATACGCAGGACGGAAGCTTGTTGGGGGGAGCAACTTTGGTGGGATCAAGGAAACCCAGGAAATGCTTGATTTCTGCGGAAAGCACAACATATCTGCGGATATTGAGCTGATTAAGATGGACCACATCAACACAGCCATGGAAAGGCTTAGCAAATCTGATGTCAAATATCGCTTTGTGATTGATGTGGCGAACTCTTTCTCAAGTTTGTAGAAGCTACCATGATTCTGCAACTCTTGGGCATGTGACTCCTTAGATGTCTTAGTATTTTGGGAATATTTAAGATTGCTAAAGATGTCGAACTTTAAAATTCATAGCATCTTCTCTTAAATTGATAGAACTATGGGTTTAAAATTTATATTTTGGGAATTGGTATAAGATGTCGAACTTTAAAGATAAGAGCATCCTATTAATAATGCTTGGGGTTTTGAATTTATATTATGTTCCTTCGTCTTCATGAAGTCGTAGACTAAGCATTTCACATTATCTAAATTGGTCATTTTAAGTTTACAATATTAACATAATAGCCTCTAAATATTTGCATTAAAACTATTTTTATAAGTATTTAAAATGTCATTATGTTCGCAAAAAAAAAGTCATTATATTCGGTCTTCTAAACTTTAGAGGATTATGGTAATTGTTCTGGGATAAAGGATCGTCTCTGGTAAATCATAGTTGCAGTCTAAAATTTAGAGTATTTTAAGAGTGTAATTTGTTAGTTTTGTCTTAGAACGAGGATTATATACTTAATTGTCGTGGCTTTATACGTCTAAAAAACTTTAAGGTTTTATGAGAATTTATCAGTTATTGAGCATCATATTTTTGGTGCTCAATCATGGTCATTAATAATTTGATTCGATTTTGTTCGAATGAGTTTTAAGTCAGAAAAATGAGTAGTAATTTTACAAGTAGGAGTATTTGATGAGGCTATCTTAATAAAAGATCAAGAGGGTACACTTGCCTACCAATTTCAAGTATGAAATGTGTAGAGGTTAAGTCAGAGCACGGTCTCTTACAAATTCTTTCGGTAAAAAATTGAGAAGGTACACTTGTCCATCAAACTTGAATGTCAAAAATATGAAAAGTTTAGTTACTCGATTTGCTAGATTAATTGTATGTCCAAACAATACAATTTATTATGAAAGTTGTATTTGTGTAAAGATTGCGATTGATATTTTTAACATGAGTGTAGTCACTCATTGCAAACTTAATTTGTAACAAAGTTGATTTCAAAGGAAAATTTTGAATGAATATTACAATTTTTTTAATAGATTTTTTTAGTAAAATTTTAGTAGATTTCCTAGTGAATATTTTCAAAGTAGGTATTTTTTTGTAAACTTTTCTGAGTAGATATTTCATAATAGATATTTTTGAGTAGGTTTTTGAATAGATATTATCAGGTAGATTTTTGAGTAAATATCATTACTAGATTTTTTCAAGTAGATATTACCATGTAATTTTTTTGAGTAAATATTATCAAGTAGTGTACAAAGAATATCATGTATTTCTTCATAATTTTTTTCAATCAAGATTAGGTAATAACAATCATTACACATTTATTATCTATTAATATTATATTAATTTCTAAAAGGAATAACCATAATAAAGAGGTGGTAACATATCTTGTAATATATTAGAATAAACAAAATAAATGAATAGTTAGAGAAAATATATACATATATTGTGAACATATATAATAATAATAATAATAATAATAATAATAATAATAATAATGATAATAATAATAATAGAAAACAAACAAACAAGTGTACTTAAATAAATAAAAAATATTTAATGATAAAGAGATGATCAACAAATACACCAAGCCATTTTCAAAAAATTAAACACGAATGCCAATCATTTTAACAAATTCAATCAAGGAGAGAAAACTTAAATAAATTTTTGAAAGGCCTAATCATATTTTTGAGAGACACAATCAATTTCAATTATAATTGGCTAAGATACATTTCAGCAAGTAGCAAATCAATTTCATATATTGACACAATGTGACCGAATAATATTTACATATCTATTTATACTTTAGTTATCATAAAAAAAAAAAAATAATGGCCTCATGAATGTTTATAATATTTGTTTAATTATAAGAATTAAATATATGATATAAAATCACGATTGTTTATCATATTGATTATGATAATAATTAAATAATCAAATGCAGGACAGACTTTCTTGGTGACAGGAGAGGCTCTTCCAAATTTTTCTTAAAAAAAATAATTTATATATATAATATTATATTTGTATGATTATTTTATAAAATGATGATAATATTTTTTTACATTTTATTATCACGAATGTTTATTTTAAGTAGAAAAAAATGAAAAATTTTGTTATTTTTAATTAATAAAACATTTAATTTATATATAAAAAAATTAATTTAGCATTTCCAAATTTTTTATCAAAGTTCCGCCACTGATGAAATGTAATGATAGAATTATGAGAATAATTAAAATTCAATGATAGAATTATAAAATCACTTAATAAATTGTCATGATTAGAAGATGGATTAAGAGAGTTGAACTGATTGCTTACATGCGAAAAACTTAACCAAACCAGAAAATAATGGATAATATGAAAATCGATCGATTAAGAGAAATAAGACTTTTTGTTTCGCATGCAAGAACCTTATTAGATGAAACAGACGAATAGTGACGTGACAATTGTCAAAAGTTAATCGAAATTATGATGGTAATATACTAAAGTTAAAATAATAGACTAGCCGGCAAACATATTGCTTCCGTCCCATTTTGCTTCACATCCTACTCAATAACAATTTATAAGAAATAAATTAATCCCATGTCATGTTTGATCAGAGTATAGTAATTAATCAGAGATTGATTTTAATACATAGTTAATATAATTCTTTTACATTATTAAAAAATTACTTTCAACACGACTTTTATAAGTAGTTTGGAGAGAAAAAGGTTTTTTTAATTCTCTAAAATACACTTTTTCACTATCATTTAAAGTTTGTATTATATTTTGGGAACCATGGTTGGTCCCAACAGAAAATCAACTTTCTAAAATCATAACTTTTTTCTCATGTCAAATCTTGATTTGTGACCGAAAATCATGCTCAAACCCAATCATGGTTTTTTACGTTATTCGCGAATAAATTTCAATTTGCAGAGTCTAGCAAAGTTAGAGATTCTTAAGCACGCAAAAACCGTACTTCAAACATGCTACCCGGTTTTATACAAACACTACAAATGAATGATGACAATGGAATATGGTTGGTGTAAAAAGTTAAATTTGTTAAAAATGCTTAGAATATTCTTCATCTTATAATTATTCTGCAGGCGAAACCTAGTACCATATATTCCACTCTCTACAATGAATCAGCATCCACTCCATTAAAATCACCCAATTAAACTCCAACTTCTTCATCTTGAGCACAAAAGAAAAACATGGGCGCTTTGTATCAAATTGTTCTTTTGAACATTGTTGTTTATTTTGCATCAGTGATGCACACCTCCTCAAGGAGCATGCCACTAGACTTAACATTCGGTTTCACTGCTCTCCCTCTGAACGCCTCCAACTTTAAACATCACAAGCCTTACAATTTACCGGAAAGACAACGCTATAGTTTCAAAAACGGAGTACACAAGCTGTGGGTATACGCCACAGACAAACCTATGTCCCCACATACCAAAACCAATCCTCGTTCAGAAATCCGCATTGAGGTAAGCATAACAGCGTCTTTTCTTAAATTAATATATATATACACACATTATACAACTTATGTGTTGGTATACAAGTGTGAATCGAAACTCTTACATTAAATAGAAATGAATATGCTAGAGTAACATATGTGACCAAGACACATAAATCTGACATGATATTTCAAAGTTTTGAGATAAGATATAATCTTTTAGTTCACTTATTTAGTTTGCTTATCACTCATCAGTGAGTTTTATTACGTGTTTTACCCCCTCGTAATCCTAATTATTGACATCAAAACCGATAGTTTGACTATATATATGACTTGCTCAAATGAGTATTGAACAGTGAGACAATGGATCTCTTAAAGTTGATGTCTAAATGTTTTGAGTTAAAACATGATGTAAAATTAACTTATGTGGTTGTTTATGACCCATTGCTGAGCTTTCTACTATATTTTACTCCATCGTATTCGAAACATTATGTAGCTATTAATATTATGTCTTGCAGGGCTTGGATTATTCAAGCGGGGTATGGCAATTTGAAGGGCAAGGTTTTGTGCCTGATGGTACTTCTGGGGTGTGCGTTATGCAGGTCTTTGGGGCACATCCTAAACGTTCGACCACTCTTATGCTTGATGTTTATGACGATTCCCTTACGTATTATAGACATTCTGTGGTGGTTCCAAACATACGGGACCAATGGTTCAAGTTGAATGTGATCCATGACGTGGAGGCCTCCAATGTGAAGATTTATGTTGATGGGGTTCATGTTTATGATGCCCCGGGACAAGGAGGGAGATTCCATTATTTCAAATTTGGTGTCTATGCACAAGATAATCCTTCGTGCTATATGGAGTCAAGGTGGAAAGGGATCAGAGTTCTAAGGAAGTCTTCATGATTTTGAGCTTTGGATAAGATTGTATCTGTATCTTTCAATATTCGGTTGAAGAAGTTAAAAAAATATTACTGATTTTAGTAATGCTTGCGTGACAAATATATGTAAATAGATTCTATTGATTTTATTAATTTTACGCACTCGACTAAGAGAAAAAATGACTCTAAGCTAAATCAATTCATAGCTGAAGGAAAGATGGAAATTGCACACTTCAGACTTGCTTTTTGGATTTTATGAACACACCAAGTCGCATGTCTTAAAAAACTATACACGTCTCAACGTGATTGGTCTTTGGTCAGGTTTTCCGGCTGAAGTTATCAACAAAGTTGACAACAATAATATAGTGACAAAAGAGAAAAATCATACACACAAAAATCACATAATAAACATTAGTTATACAAAAAATTAAAATCAAACAACATAATTCGTTATGGTATATGGTGCTATGCCAATTGATACATGTGGTTTTAAAAAAAAACAGTATACCAAATTTTGTCATTCCTAAACGGCCTTTGTATAATTTCTAGAGTTTTCACTATTCACACAACGAAATTTGGGCAGTAAAAAAAAAGGCATAATTATTGTGCGAGTTAGCAGCAATGCAACAATCTCTATAGCCATTAGAAGTTAGTAAACTTACTTTTATCCTTAACCTGGAGTGTATTATTGAGAAACCAGAATTCCACAAACACATGACAAGATCTTTGAATTCCTCTTAGATGGGAAATTTAACCATGATTCACTCCAAAGAGAAGGAAACTATTTATGAAAGAAAAAACGGCTTCTCCAATAAGACATTGAATACTTATTTAATAGATTGGGCTAACAGGTCCATCAGGCGCAGGGGCTAAAGCAGGAGTTGGAGCATAAGGATCACAGTAGCCACGTACATAGAAATATTCTTGGTAAGTAAGGCCCAAGAAGGTGAGCATTTTGGGCCAGCAATTATGGGTTATGTCTGTAATGGCACAGCAACAGTTGGGTGTAATATGAGCATGACCATTGATGAAGAAACGCATGATCTCACTGGAACATGATTTTAGCTCATTGAGGTTGCTCCAGCACCCCACGTGGCTGTCCCTTGTTGCTGCTCCACATGCAACAAAGCAAGCCAGGGCCAGGGCCAGGGCCAAGGCCAACATCAATAATCCATGTTTGAGAGCCATGAAATGAAGTTGATGATGTTTTTGTCACTAATCAAATTGTAATTGTTGTCAAACTACTTATAGTAATCATGCTTTTTATTGGATCCCGTTTGGTTTCTTAAATCAACCCAGTGGGACGGTTAATTAAACAAAATAACGGATGTTTATAAAATTTTAACAGCCAGCGCAAGGGAATATGGAAAGCGCACAATTGTATTATGCCTTCATTTTTGCACGATCTTACATATTCTCTTTCAGGTTTTTTTAATGTTCTTTATTAGCTTTTTTCCTTTAATTAATTAACTAATTAATAATAATAATCCCGTACCATTAAATTGGCGAGAAGTAGAACTCACTCTACTACTGATTTTGGATATTAGGCCCAATCCGTTTGAAAAATGGGCCAGGAAACGACTTTTCATGCGAAAACGGGCTTGCGGATTGGGCCGAGGTGCAGTGTAGTAGTAAGACTAGAGTAACGTAGGAGGGTGAGTGAAGAAGAAGAAGAAGAGATGAGCGTGGAAGATCTTCCGAGGAAAGAGGTAAACGTGCTGAAGGGTCACGAGGGTGCCGTGTTGGCCGCGAGGTTCAACGCCGACGGCAATTATTGTCTGAGTTGCGGCAAAGACCGTACCATACGCCTCTGGAATCCCCACCGTGGCATCCATATCAAGACCTACAAATCTCACGCTCGCGAAGTCCGCGATGTCCACGTCACACCGTACTCTCTCTATCATATTACTTCAATGCCATTTCGTTTCTCACTGAATCATGAAATTTATGCGTATTCAGAATGCAAATTGCAAACACGCTTCAGTTTGTAGGGTTTTGTGATTTCCACTTTGAACTGTCGTGGAATGTAACTGCATTGGGTCCATGGTCAACACTGGTTCATAATGCATTATTTGCGTGTTGCTATTACAGGGACAATTCCAAGTTATGTTCCTGTGGTGGAGATCGACAGGTGTTTTATTGGGATGTTGCAACTGGACGTGTAATTAGGAAATTTCGTGGCCATGATGGTGAGGTGAGCTATCTTTCCTCTCCTTCTATAGCCACATTTTCGCTTCTTCATTTTTTGTTTTTATTGTAATTTCAGTCATCTTCGCTTTGAGCTAGGAGTGATGCTGTTAATAAAGCTATTTATATTTAATTGTTGTAGTCTTTTATCCTTTTCTCTAGCTTGAATGCTATTTTCGCCTTTTACAACATATAACTCTAAGGCCTTGTTTGGATAATGGGGCGGGTGGGGGTGGATAGAAGAGAGTGATAGAAATGAAAGAAGAAACATAGATAGAGAAGGTGATAGATATGATGAGTGATGTGATAAAAAAATGAAGAGAGATAGAGAGAGAAAATTGAGGTGGAAGTGGGACGGAAGAGAAAGTGAATGTATGATTATAATTTTTCTTGGAATAAATTTCATAAACAACATTTATAGGAGAAAAAAAAAATGAAATAATTTTCTCCTATAAGCTAGTTTTAGTTTATGCAAGAAACTTATTTTATTTTTTCTCCTATATGTGCTGCATATGGAGAAGAGAAGCAACATGTTAATGTGAACCTTCAACTAATTATGTTCCAATGAGATTATGCATTTCTTCATCAATGGTGAAGCTGATATTGGTCCCTACCGTTTCTGTGCTATTAGTTGGCCTAAAATGCTCACTTCCTTATTGGGCTCACTTACCAGGATGTTCTCTATATACATGTTACTGTGGTGCTGCTTCAGTGCCAGCTTTAGCCCCTGCTGCTGATGAACCTGCCGACCCAATTTATTATAAACATCTATTGTTTTATTGGAGAAGCTGTTTTTGCTTTCATAATTAGTTGCCTTTTCTTAGGAGTGAATCTTGTTTAATTTTCCATCTAAGAGGAATGGAATGATCTAATAACGTACCTGTGGAATGCTGGTTTAGATAAATTCAGTTTCTTCCAATTTGTGTGCTAAAACTATGTTGTTTAAAATTTGACAGGAAAATAAATATGTATAATGATTTGTCAATAATACAAACTCCAGGTTACATTTTGTGATCGTTAGCAATTAGCCACAAGACAGTTTAAAGATAATAGTAGGTTTACTAATTTCCGATGGGGATAGTGATTGTTGCATTGCATTGCTTCTTATTTTCTTCTACTCAATTATCCAGGGCGTTATTATATGCACCTGATTCAGACCCATGTTAATTTGCACCTCCAACAAAATTACCACAGTAAATATTTTTTATTTTCTCAAAAAACACCATCCATTTTTAATTCATATACAGTGGAAAATGAAAGAAAAAAGAAACTTATGATTTTTGAGAGTTATAGTCATTTGGGGTTCTCAATGCTTGTCATTATGCTATGTTTTGACCCAAGCTCAAATCTAAATTGGCTGTAGATTTATAGTTTCTGATAATTTTTTCTTCAGGTAAATGGTGTCAAATTCAATGAGTATTCATCTGTTGTAGTATCAGCTGGCTATGATCAATCATTGCGTGCTTGGGACTGCAGATCCCACAGCACTGAGCCAATTCAGGTGGATTTCGTTGGCTCATTCCTTTACTTATTTTTTCCTCTATCAGTTTTTTATTACATGCAATTGTACTTTAAATTTTTTTTTCAACCAGGTAATTAATCAAGAGTTGCAATTGGCTTGCAGATTGTTGACACATTTGCAGATAGTGTGATGTCTGTTTCTTTAACGAAAACTGAAATTATTGGAGGAAGTGTTGATGGAACTGTCAGAACATTTGACATTCGTATTGGCAGGTTTCTTGCATCATAGCTTTGATAACATTATTTGTTTGTTTTTTGTAATTCATGAATTTATGGTTAAAACAACTTATCTTATTGGTTAATGCGTGTTTGGTGATAATTCAAAACAAAAGTGATACTTTTGTTACTATAAAATTTATTTGCAGTATGAACTTCTACTGATGTTCTCTTTTCTATTTACCAGAGAAATATCTGATAACTTAGGGCAACCTGTCAACTGTGTATCGATGTCAAATGATGGTAACTGCATTCTAGCCGGTTGCTTAGACTCTTCTTTGCGCCTCTTGGATAGGTATGTTTGTAACATTTTGATTAAAGTTACTATGGGTCTATATCCCTGCAAGCTTCATAGTCCTTTCTTGTGACAGATCCACAGGTGAACTGTTACAAGAATATAAAGGACACACTAATAAGGTTAGTCTGCAGATGCCTTGATCTGATTTTAGTTCTCTGTATTTTCTAACGTTCTGCATATAGCATTGTTTAATGATACAGGAAGATACAAAATGCATGCTCCCAAAAAATTGGGAATACAAGTTGAGATTCATTGCATTTATATATCAGCATTTCTGGACTATTATTTATTGGTTCCCGCTATTATTCATTCTTAAAGCATATTTTTTGTGTTTTTTAAGTAACTTTCCATGTTACAAACTTTTTACTATTCTTTTTTCTGAATTTTTTATTATTTATATTAAACTACCCTCAGTCTTACAAATTGGATTGCTGCCTAACCAATACGGATGCTCATGTGACTGGTGGCTCTGAGGATGGCTTCATTTATTTTTGGGATCTTGTAGATGCATCTGTTGTGTCAAGATTCAGGGCTCATACCTCGGTGGTAATTTCTTTTCACTAATTTATTCTTTCTGGTATTCTGGATGAAAGGCTTGCTAGGATGATACTAAAAAGACATTATAGACCATTTCTCCAGTAATATTTGACATGAATCATGATTGTGGTTGCTTCAAATTTTCAAGTCCTCCTTGTACCTCAACAAAGGACACTGATGGCTTGATAGTTGATACGCTTTTTCAGAAAAATGTTTAATAATTATGATTTTCGCTTTATTTTTGACTTTGTGTTGAAAGCTCAGTGTGAATATTCAATATTGTTATCACAAGCCCGGTCGTTAAAATTTTTTTTTAAAAAAAAGTGATTTTAAAAAAAGTAATTTATTAAGAAACAATAGGAGTTGATTCTTTAAAAAAATAATTTAGACAAACATATAAAATAATAGAAAACTGATTAATTTATTAAAAAATACTTTTTTTAAAAATAAACAAATGGGCCCAATATGGCAACTTCGCTCTAAAACAAAGTTTCTGTCTCTCAGAACTTCTTGATGATATTTTGGTCTGCTGCTTGATTAATGATTATATTTACAGGAACTTCGTTATTGATTTAACTAATGTTCCTCGTGCTGCATTTTATTATTGTCAGTTTCAAGTATAATGATAATGCCATCATTACCTTAACCTATATGGTGAAATGCTTCATTTTGTGCATAGGTTTCTTTTATTTAATAACTTGAAGGATGTGAAAATGACATAATGCATATTCTCTGTCAGGTAACAAGTGTTAGTTATCACCCAAAGGAAAACTGCATGGTAACTTCTTCTGTGGATGGCACCGTTCGAGTATGGAGAACATAAGAACAAAATACAAGCACGAAGCTTATATGGTGTGTCCATGCGGCCCATACCAATACCAATTAGTGTAATAATGATTACATGTCCAATTGCAATTGGAGTTCCCAGACACGATGTTGATCTATATGGGCTTTTGATTCGGAAGATAGTAAAAGCAAGGTGACTCTTGTTGGTTGCTGCGCATCTCTGACATACGGTCAAATCACAGTTTTTGACATTTTTCTCCAAAAAGGGTTAGGGTACTGTATAATTCACTTGTGTCCATTTAATGAAATATGTTGTATTTTATCCGCCATATACGAATTTCGCGGTTCATCTCATCCTGGTTTTACTAGTAGATTTGGTTTTCCAATGATCCTCAAACGGTGAAAGCGGACAGCGAAGACTTGCAGGCTTGCAGCCAGTTATTTTAATTTGTGGGGTAATCAATCGTTTGAAGTAGGGAAAAAGACTCTCTTGTTCGGATTATAGATGTAGGACGTTTTGGATTGCTTATTTCATTAATCCTTGATTTAATTAATACCTTTTACACTTAATTAGCATTTTTCATTATAGTATAAAGGTTTTATTAGTTAAATGTTAAATCAGTGTGAACAAATGATAATAGACGAATGAATTAGAACAAGTTGAACTTGTCTTTTCTGCTTGTCAATTTACATCGTCAAGTCTATAAACTTTTCTTATTTTTTGTAATACTAACATTTTTAACAATATAAAATATTACCCACATTTTAGTCATAGTCACGATAGAAGTTTAAACTTCTAGAATCACTTCACTATACAGTACAGTAGTGAATAGAGCTATGCACGAGAATTTTGATGAATACTTTTTCTTGGTGGTGTTAATAATTTATGAATAAATGAACCGACTCGTCGGCGATGAGGCAGCACGTGTGAATTGTGTTGGTTTGGAAGCTGAGAACCTGAGTTGCTCTTTCATATGCCTGAACATGAGCCAAACTTCGTCCAGCCAAACCAGTTATATTATTCTTTTTTTGATCAGTTTTTTAGTCTCGCTGTCACACTTTCCCGGCAAGAAGGATTCTCTTGTACATGTGGCTTTGCAATTATAAGAATAATTATTATTATATTAGTGGCAGTTATTGTCATTATCGTCGTCATGATTGCATTTTGTATATAAATCTTTACCAATTTTTATATTCAATATAAAAACATTTCAGAATGAACATGTCAAACCAATACGGTTTAAACATCAATTTATCTTGGTAAACTTTATCTTTCTAATGAACGCAATTAGTTAAGAAAATTTGAGTTAGTCACAATTTGTGGATCTGGTATATGTTGGCAACTTTAACTAATAAGGCTGGTTGGTTATATTCTGATGCTGCAGACACCGTACAGTTTTGATGGCACTGGCCATAGAATATGTTATGCGTATAATTTCCGTATCTCGCAGAGATATGCCAGTTTGATAGCTATTTGATATTTCAGTAACAAATGTAAAATATTTTTTTATATACAAATTAGAATAATAACTAATAAATATATCCTGTATTATTATTAATGTTAATTGAGAAGTTAAGAAGTTTTAAAAATGAGCTGTAAATTGAGAAACACATGTAATCATGAAAATTATCAATGGCCATATGTGAAATGCCGAAAGGCATTAGGATCTTGATTTCGATGCATGTTATATTGTTGTTGGTCAACTTGGATAAAATATTGTTCGATAGACATGTTATACCAATCTATCTTATGTTTATTGAATTGAGTATTAATATAGTCTAAAAGTAGGTGGTCTGTCAAATTTTACATTTGAATGAACCAGGTAGAGAGAAAGACTTGTATGTGGTGTTGTCCAATTATAATAATGAACGGCCTTTACTTGTTGTGGTGTAGAACCTTTGTATTTTTATTTAAAGCAAGTCGAAAGAAAAGATATTTTATAAAATACAGAAAAGGACAGAGAGGAGTGAGAAGGTAGCACCGAGGCACCGACACTTTTGATAGGTAACAAACGAATGAGCTACATATCTGAAACGACTGGTCCATTCTATAATGGATCAATTTCTATTATATCAAAATAATAATGAAGAGGAAGAAACCCTAGTTTTGTGTCTTAACTCTTAAATCATAATTTTGCAGTGCAGTTATAGGAAGGGCATTGATGCAAAGTTGGTGGCTAGGCTGGAGGCTGGAGCCATTGATTCAACATGTCAAATATCTTGGGCCGACAGTGTGGCCCAGTTATGTGTATTCTCTTTTAGATTTGGTTTGTGTTTAGGCCATCGTGTGGTTCACAGTTCACTTTCCACCCAACACAAGCGAACACATTGCCAGCTGTTACCTCATTTTCTTCTCGGGCCCACATTAAATTATCATATTGGAACTTGCTCGGTTGTCTCTCACCCCACCTCATTCACATGCTTTTATAACGTGCCTTGTTCTTGTTATAATACAAAAACCCTTTTCACATTTCAACCGCTATTTTCTTTTTTTAATCCAAGTATTAACCCATTTTATAATTTAAAGAAAAATCAAATATATGATCATGTACATGAACTAACCGATAATGAGTAATGTAATTACCTCAACTTGCCTTTTTCATGAACACGCACCTTATTTTTCAGGTGCCCAAAAAAAAGGTTTGTCAAATATGGGGTGCTGAGTGCTAACAGTAGTACACTACATAATTGTGTTGTGGAAAAAGATAACTATTTAATTTTAATTTTTTATTACTTACATTAAGGGTTGGCTTATTTTAATATTATCCGTGAGTTACGTCAAATGATTAAAAGTTCCCCCAAAAGTTTGATTGAAGTAAAAAAATATATCATCACATATGATGCTTAAGCCACAAATTAAATTAAAATTCAATAATTGTTAAACAATACTTATTCGTCTTTTTTTTTTTTTTATTAACTCTTTCTTTAGATTGTTTTGTTGAAAAGGGAAAGCCGTACATGCTTTAAGATTTTTTCTCTCTTTTCTTTTAAAGGAAATTGACCATTACTTCAGTTTTTGCGTTACCATCACATTCACGTTGGAGATAGGAAAACGTTAACATTAAAGTTTCCTTAAAGGAAATTTTGCATCCACGAATTAACGAATAATAACAGATTAATTAAGGTTGAATGAATGTATTAATCGAGCCGATTTTATGAACTAGAATCTCTGTTTTCCTGGGGATGTGTCTTTGTCTTAAAATTTTAATTCTTTCAATGTTTTTACATGTAAATCATTTAAGATTGTTATATCGAGATGTTATGAAAAACTTTTTCGCCTTTAAAGTTTGAGATTAACAAATAAATCATTTTAGATATAATCTAAGATATGTCTATTAAAATAAAATAAGTAAATGTTACTTATTTATTATGTTAATTCCAAAAAAATTGGATCAAATTTTATCATTAATAATTAACATAATATGTTCAAGATATATACTTAAATAATTTTATAAATTTATAAACAATCAATTATAAATATTCTATTTCTAGGATAAAGATAAATAAATTACACTTTTGAATATTCTGATTTTAATTAAACACTAAAATTAACCCTAAACATTTTTCATATTGAAACATTTTGGGTCTAATCATGAGATTTGGTAAAATTTTACCAAATTCCACAAATCAAAATTCTTCACTTAATGTCTGCATATCATTATATTTAGGTTCAAACAAGATTTTGTGATTTTGTTTAAATCATTTGAGATTGTTATATCGAGATGTTATGAACAAACTTTTTCGTTTTTAAAGTTTAAGATTAACAAATAAAGCATTTTGGATATAATTTAAGATGTGTCTTAAAATAAAATAAGTAAATGTTACTTGATCTATTATGTTAATCCCAAAAAAATTAGATCAAATTTTATCATTAATAATTAACATAATATACACAAGATATATACTTAAATAATCTCATCAAATCTTGAAATTTAGGTTCATAAATTCATCAACAATTAATTATAAATATTCTATTTCTAGGATAAAGACAAACAAATTACACTTTTGAATATTCTAATTTTAATTAAACAGGAAAATTAATTCTAAATATTTTTCATATTGAAACATTTTGGGTTTAATCATGAGATTTGGTAAAAATTTTCTCAAACCCCACAAATCAAAATTCTTCACTTAATGTCTGCATACCATTATATTTAGGTTCAAACAAGATTTTGTGGTTTATACCTTCTTTATTAAATTATTTAATTCCTTTTTATCTTATTTATATTTTTGCAAGAGATATAAGACGTGCCAAAGTTCTTTATCTTATTGAATTTGATATCAAATTATGAACAAGATTTTTTTTTTTGGTTCGTCCCTGGAGTATCCAGGGCCGACAACAGTGACTAATCTCCTCGCTACGTTGGAAACATCTTAAAGGGTGGGATAGCTGGCCCCAAGATTTAACGCGACTGCATACACAATGCAAGATTCGAACCCCTGACCTTGCTTAAGCGTGGATCAACCTTACCGCTAAACCACACGCTTGGGGTTAAATTATGAACAAGATTGCAATGTCTTTTGGATTTGGTAAAAAAAAAAGGGGAAAAAATCATTAAAAGGGAGTATTGATTGATATTACATGTTGTTGCATACACGAACATGTTTTGTGATCTTTGTTTAAAACATGGAATGTGTTGTGTACATTCTTTTCAAGTTAGCAGTGATATTTTAGTATCCAGATTTTTTTTAGCAGAAGTTTTATATTCTTCAAAGTTTTTAACCAACTGTAGTTATGTTTTTACTTGCGAGGAATGAGAAACAAAAAATATTGCATGTGATTTGATAACAATGATACTTAATTCAGTGAATTGGACTGGAATGATTCGAATGTCACTTAATTAATATTTTTTTAATAGTAAAAAATAACAAAGATTCAAAAAAATGATAAAACGAGTATCTTTAAATTAAAATTAAATAGGATAAAAAAAATAAAATTGAATGAATTAAATTTTGCACATAATTTAAAGACTGTAGGAGTTACTAGTTAGGATTTATTTCTACAATGTTTCATTTTCTTGTTACAGATTTATATATAAATATATTTGAATGCGCTAATTGTCCTTAAATTTATCATAATTCCATAATATCGTATCAGTAGGATTATAATATAATTAAATATATTTGATGAGTTTTATTTGAAATAGTTTTCTCTAAAAAAAATAGTTGAAATTGAATGAAATAGTCTCCAAACATATGTATTTTTTATTTTTTATAGAAAGAATAAATTATAGTGATAGATAATCGAGAACTGTATGCTTAGTACGTGTACTTTTTATTCAACAATTTTACTTGTATTAGCTTTAAAAATTGCTTGTGCATCTAAATTATTGCTTTGCTTAATTGATTTCTCTAATTAAAAATAATAATAATAATAATAATAATAATAATAATAAAATATTGAAAATAAAAGATAATATCATCATTTTTATTATCTTTCTTTTTATAAAAAATATAATAATATTGTTTTAATTTTTTTTATAATCAAATAATATTATAATTGTTTAAATAATTTGTGACCATTTTATAACATCTTTATTATAATTATTTATTTATAAATTATTATATTT